TGCTAAAACAATAAAAGGAATTCCTAAAACTCACCATAGTGTAAAAGCCAGGAGTAGCCCAACCGGTGGCTTATTACACAAATTTGATTATAAAACATCATTAATCCTTTTAATATCAACATCGATTTTATTTGGCAATGATAACATTTTTTAAATTGGGATGACATATGAAAGGTAGGTAATAATATTCTTTTTCATTTGAAATCGATAAAAACAATGAAACAAATGCTCCCCAGTGGCATGAGGGGTCACTGCCATATCTACTGAGAGAGATGATAATTTCGATCAATATAAGCCAATGATATCCGTGCAGTTGATTAGATACATTATTACTGGAACGTAAAAAAAAAAACCCAACAACAACAGTTTATATAAATAATAAACTTCATCGCTTGTATTATTCAATTGATACCATTCTGGCCACTGGATACCCTAGAAGAACTAATTACCTGATATCAGTAGCTAGTCTTGCAGGTTTTCTTCGGTATTTTACAGTGTTTTACTTTACTATCTAATTCCTGTTCCCCTTACGTTCAGTGTGGCGTTGTTGTTACTTCTTGTATTCTTCTTCAACTTTTTTTTTATAAGATGTGCACGAAGAAACGTGGGGGATTTTGGCTTCGATATGAGCATGAAAGTACTGTATTTTCTATTTCATCATATACAGCCGCTGTATAAGCTTGAATCAATTTCTCTGTCGATTGTGTATGTCCACCTTCTTTCTTAAGCCCCGACAGCGCTGTATATCAAATCGCGTAGAAAGCCGAGATGCTACGCAATTTTCATATGACAACTCACTAGGTTTCGCATTTAAATAATTTCAGTGCTTTATTAGCTGTTGATAAGCAATTTTTTATGATTATTATAATTACCCTCGCCCACAACTATCAGGCTTTTTTTTTTAAATTTTATAAACCAGTGTCACTGGCCATAAAGTAATTTTCTATGCATTCAATGTTGACTTTTAACTTTCGCTCTTTTTGAACCATCTCCTCTAAAACAATCAGGATCCATTCGATTCTGTCTGGTATCTTATCACAGTCATTCAATTCTTTCTTCAGCTATCATAGCAAACAAAAAGACATTAGAAAGGGAAGAGGACAGACAGATAAAAGAAAAACCTCTTCCGTTATCGATGGACGCAAATAACCAAGTTGACATGTTGAATAGTTTCCTTTGGACAGTTCCTGCCTTCTATCTGGTATGGAAATGAAGTTTCGGCTCCGTTCTTAACCCTTCATCGGGTATTTTCCTCTCATATTTAATGTAATTTCTTTTTATTATAACTTGTATTAAATGTTTTTGTGTCTTGGTAACACAATTCATGTTTTGTCAGCACCCAATGGAGAAATGCGTAAAAACTAATGGTCCATATAAATAACGTAGTCTGGGCGTGGCCTTGTGGTTAGTTGTCTAGTTGTAGATCGAAGGGTCCAGGATTCGAGACGTAATGCCGATGAAGGCTTTCTACATTTTTAGCTGTGGGAAAGTACTAAAAGCGACAGTCAATTTCATTATTCATTTCAAAGAACAGAACACAGCCCTTGTGGATGCAGGTGCTGCTGGCTGCCCTCCCCTTTTCAGTAGTCGAAACGCAGGAGCAACTAACCGAACTTTAGTGATCTTATTCCTGGCCGATTAATCTATGTATGGGCAAGGTTTCGTTCAGGCTCATAATTGCAATTCCGATAAAAACGTTTTGTTATTTGATAAATGTTTCTAATATATTTGAATATCTACAGATGGTATAAAATTAACTACTTTTAGCTCTTTACTGAGTTGGATTTACTCTTCTAAATAATTTTCTAATGTGATTACTTCCATTACCAAAAGTGGATTCATTGATAAATGTTTTTCGTAATGTCACAATATATACAATATTCATTATTTCAATTAATCGCTTGACTAGATGAACCTTAGCGTACATTATTGTACGCTTACTTCCATTTTAAAAACTAACCATTCAAATGTCAACATCCAGTTTGAATAATAGAGGATGATACATAACGGTTAGTCGATAAAGTGGGTTGAAATTTATAAATAGCTTTTCTTCAGACTCAATAGAGTTAGTTTACTGTGTTTGACTGGGTTCTTCAATATAGTTTGAGTCTTCTAAGCAAAATAAGATGTGTGGCTAACAAAAATGTTATCCACGGTAAGAACTCAAGATTTTGTGGTAAAACAGTAATCAAAAGTATTATCTAAGTTTTAAATTATTTCATTGATAGTGTTTTACCATTTTTGATGAAAATATCATACAGAGTCTTGAAGGACCTGTGAAATAAGTCACACAAAATAACATTATGGGTTATTCAGAGAAGTTGTTTAGGGATTCTAGAAGTATCTAAATGCACTGACAAAGACTGTGATGCTACTTTCTTGAAGAAGACGCAAAATAATTGACGTTTTCAATGGAAATTTTCATAAACTCTCTTTGGTCATGAAATAGTGCTTATAATCTCATTTTTGTCATTGCTGTCTTTATTATTTTAACTTACCGACGGAGTATTTGACATTAATAAACACGACTAAGGGGTTATTTCTAACATAATCCTTTATCAAATCAAGCAGTAGATGGATAGCCATCTACGATATCCAAGTTGTCCCGAGGAGAATCTTCCAGATGAAGAGTTCTTACTGGTGATCATTTAGAAATAATCCCAGTTGACTACTGATCGACTTTAGCTTGAGGGTAAGTAAGACTATAGTTTTGTTCTCTCCAGTCTCGTGGTTCTTATACACTCTAGTCTATTCTAAGAGCTCTCGAGAGTGCAATACGTTAGTGTATATATATATGTGTTTGCGCGTGTGTGTGTGTGGGCTGATTTCTAGCTAAACTTTAGTAGTTAACAAATCAGAAATGTTCTATACAGTTAACCCTACACAGTAATAATAAAAATGAGTGCTTGTCATACCATTTTTTTTATATTTAGGGTCCTAAGTTCCAACCATCTGTCTGAACCAGTATCCTTATTTGTGTTTCGTGGTCTCGTCTTTCTCGGAAAGTTAGTCTTTCTCTCTCTCTCTCTCTATATATATATATATATATCCAACTTTTAAAAAACATTCAAGTGCCTATGGCTACATTATATTATGCTAAGCACATCTTAAAACACTAACTAATTTATTTATAAATTATTTCTCCAAACTCCTTGCATTATTTTGTCCATTTTTTTGTTTGTAGTTAAGCACAAAACTACACAAACTATACTATCTGTGCTCTGCCCACCACCGGTATCGAAACCCGATTTATAGCGCTGTAAGTCCGCAAACATACCGCTGTGCCACTGGGAGCTTGTCCATTGTTAAGTTAACAAGAAGGTAATTTTCTAAGCCTTAAAGTCGCCGCATTCGCAAGATATGCAATCCAATTTTGACCATCCGCCATTGATTATTAAACCCTCAGTGGGTCAGAGGCTAGTTTAGGAACTTATACCATTGAAACACGTGGCTCGATTCTCGAGGTGGACAGAGTGTAAATAGTCCACTGTGTAGCTTTGCACTAAGAAAAAAGCCATTTATGATTAGAAAATACATTAAGTTTTTCCTACTTTGAGAACGTCCCCTGGAGGGACAGCGCTAAGTCTACGGATTTACAACGCTAAAATCCGTGTTTCGCTTCCCCGCGGTGAACACAGGAGATACCTCAAAGTAGCTTTGCTCTAAATCACACAAACAGACACACGCACACAAAAACAAACAAACTTTTAGAACACATCCTAGAAAATCTTAAGCTTTGCAATTTAATATTTTTTCCAATCTTTCTAATGCTTTTCTAAGAAATATTTCGTCCCAAAGAATTATTCGCAAACCATCAATTGTTAATTAAGATGCTTTGCTGAGATTGCTTGAGAACTGTTAATTTTCATATGTTTCAATGGTTTTCGGCTGTCTGGCTCTTTTTTCTTCCCTATTTTGCTGCTTGAGATTTGATATATAAAAGAACTAGCGTTTAATAAATAGAAAGGTTATTTTTGTTGTCTATATTTCTAAGACATTTAACACAGACTTTTCGTTATTTTGGGCATTGACGTCAATCTCAACCTGCAAAGGAATTAAGTATTGTGCTTTTGCCTTCTCTCTCGTATTTCCTAATACCACAAGACTGATTAAACCCAATCTGTTTACTACGTTCGGAACGAAATGAAGAAGAACAGTATTTCAAAACTAGATGACTTTTGTTTTAAAGAAAACTGTGGTAGAATTAATGATAAGAGGCAGCTTAAAACGAGGCTCTACATGTTTAAAGGACCTACACGGAAGAAAAATTCGCGAGTTACATTTACATTTTATATACTCAGACAATTCAAAGATACTGTACAACAGATAGAGCGGGTACTTTGTGGAATGATTTCATCTGTGTCCACTGCACGTTACATCAAAAATAATCTGTTCTCGATATCATATGTGTAGGACCAACTACAAGGATAAGCTGAGAAACAGTGTTTTAGAGAAAAATCCACGCCTTTATCGTAACATTTGTTTGTTTTGAATTTCGCGCAAAGCTACACGAGGGCTATCTGCGCTAGCCGTTCCTAATTTAGCAGTATAAGACTAGAGGGAAGGCAGCTAGTCATCACCAGCCACCGCCAACTCTTGGGCTACTTTTTTACAAACGAATAGTGGGATTGACCGTCACATTATAACACCCCCACGGCTGAAAGGACGAGCATGTTTGGTGGGACGATGATTCGAACCCGCGACCCTCAGATTGCGAGTCGAGCGCCCTAACCACCTGGCTATGCCGGGCCTTATCTTAACATAAGTTTATTTTGTGTTTGTGAAACTTCTAAACAAGTAGTGTATATATATATATATATATGTGTATTGCATCTGAACTTTACCCTGGTTTGATGTCTTATTATTTTACTCCTGACATTTATACCGGCACGGCTTAAGGTACAAATACTTTATCGCTAAACAAAATTACTAGCTTCATTCATTAAGTCGTATACTCAATAACTATTTATTTATACACACAAAAAAAACAAAGCAAAGAGCAAAGAATACATTACTGGGATTTATTTAGCATTTTATAATTAGCCATAAGCAATACAAAACAATGGATAATTGCTGTACCTAACAAATATAAGTATTTGAGGAAATCAATCATGCAGGTATACTTTACAAGTGTTTCTCAGAAACAGTGATTTTTTTATTCACAGACTATAAAACACAAGCTTCTGTGACATAGCACAAATTAAATTTCAAAAACTAATAGACACACACTTTGACAAGCCGAAGCATCTTTGGTATGCGCTTAAATGATTTGAAAACAATTTAATAAGAAGAATAAAACAGAAAGATGACCAAATTCACATTGAGTACTCTCCTTTTTTGATTGTTGTGTTGGGATAATTTCCGTTTAGAAATTCTTTTCCTCTCTGGTCTCCACTCTTTTCATTATGCTGCTTTTCTTTTCCTAAATTCTAATAATACTTTCTAGTAGACCTTTCTATGTTGCGTTCGATAAGACTTGGGAGCTAAATACAAGACATAAGAATACTTAATCACCAATAGTCCTAACTATCTATTATATCTTAGCAAAGTATGTGTATCTTTTGTGTAAAGTGCTGTTATTTTTAAGTATCATTCTTCTCACTAAACACTCATTGACAGGACAGGATGGCAGCAGGCGCACTGAGAGGGCGGGGAGGCCGAGTATATTTCCCTGGGGACCACTCCCCACCAGGGGGCGCATGAGAGCTGGAAAATAACGTGTATTGAATGTATCCAATCAGTACGGAACGTTTAAGGAAACATTAACCGCGCCTTCAATCATATACGAATGTATGCCGCATCATTTCAAAAATTATTCGGTGGGAAGGGGTGGGGGTGGATGTAGTTCTCGATGGTCCTCGTCAATAAACATTTGAAAACAAAATATATGTTATAAGAACTGTTCTATTTGGCGTCTGTCCTGTGAAAGTGGGTTTTCTCGGTGTACTCCCGTTTCCCACCACAACAAATTGAATTTATTGATCCCCGCCAACCAGTGACCCTGATTATGGGTCTTCAATATTTGTCGACGTTTGTAGAAATCCGGGATGTCAGCTTCGACCTTTCGCGACATCTTTGCCTTCGCCAATTTAAATCAGAACTTATGTTCTAATATAATTATTAAAAGCTCACTTTAATTAAATGTAATCTCCACGAGCGGGCGGAGGAAGATACTAATACCCCTCAACACCCCAGTTGAGGAAAATTTCTTTTCTTTTAACACTAAACACCTGCCACGAATTTTTGTTTTGCTTTAGTACTGTTCTTTTTGCTCATAAAAAGTGAAGGCGAGAATTCTTGCTGTTTTTATTCTGATTTGTTATACTAATTGTTTGTTCACGATGTTCCTGCATTGTTTGTTCTCAATAGTAGTTTAAACTGTTAGTTTTATGCTGCAGGACTAATAAAAAAAAAGACGCCACAACATTTTGACGTAACACATTACTAACTGAAGTCATTTGACTGAAGTAAGCATTTTAAATTCTTGGTTTCTGTTACATTCTTGTAATGGCATTTCGTTTTGTGGATTTGCATAAAACTCTAAAATCCTTTATTCGCTTCTTTATATTCATTCAAACAATAGTATATTTAAATATTTAAACACTGTATACTAAGTAAAGTAATTCTTAAGTAAGTAAGTTATTTTATAAAGTAAATCTAGAGAAAACAACAAATATGCAAACTTGTTATCATATCGTGCAAAAATATCATTTCTTATTAAGCACGGTGTAATAGAAGAATAGTCTTGAACTTTCTAGAAAATGCTTATTCTTAAAAGGACAAAGAGCTAATTTACCAAATTTAGCTTTGGTTTAAAAGTAATTAAGCAAAAGTAAACATGGATGAAAAAGAAAAACTTCAATAAATCAGACATTTTTCTCAATAATCGTAACACGTTAATATAGTAATCTCTCTGAATTTCTTCCAACTTCTGGTTTTTCAGATTTTTGTTTAAGTGATTACGACTTAGAATTCATAAACGTCTGATATTTCAGTTTTTAGGAGAAAAATCTTAAATTAATACTCAGATATGCTACAAATTAAAGCTACTTTTCTAAACCTGGTGAAAATCACCTACATATTTATATAACAAAAACTTTATGTTTATCAGTTTGATCTCTTTACTTTGTAAACGGATTAAATAAAGAACGTTTGAACAGAACGATTTGAAGCGTTAAAGAAGCGTTCGAAATGATATGTCAAGCAAATCGACCATCTTGGGTTGTGAGCTATGATTTTATTTTAAATATATATGGTCATTTGAGTTAAAACACAATTTTTAATCAACTGTGAAATATTTACCAAATCGTTGTTGTTATTTTTTTGTTCTTTGACTAAAACTAGAATATATTAAAATGTGCCATTTATTTATGTTGACGCTAAAGTTTACTAATACAAGGCGTGTTTTGAAAAAGCAGGTACAGCAAAAAGTTCACTCAACTTCTTTCGAGTATAATGTCTTTTCCATTGATTGTCTGGCACATAGACACCAGGCACCTATAACTTGTCTTAACACCTTTACGCCAGCCATGGTGTCTGATTAACCGTACTTAAACTCCACAATTATTTATATTAGCAAAGTTGAGAAACTCCCCTTAACGTATACTGTAATGCAAGTAATAAATATATTTTTAAGAATATAAAACGGCTAAAATCGTACTTATATGAAGGATAAGAAAAACTATATATCGTACAAAATAAGCAGTTACTCCTGAAAATTCTACCATCAAATAAACCGTGACCTTGGAATTATGTATAGTTAAAGTCTATTAATATTTTGTCCTCCTTTTATTTTCAGAGTGATGTTTAACTGTGTATATTTTTTACCGTTTCGTATTTTTCATTCTAATCGGTAGTCTAGCCGGCCAAACTGTATCTTTTGTAATATATATTTTTTGAAATTTGGAATGTTTTAGAGCGTTCAATAGATGGAAAATATTTATGAATATTAATGTACAATTTTTAAAATAGATAGTACTTGATTAAAATTAATCATTTATAGTTATCAACAAGAAGAGGAAAGACGATGTAAAATTAGTTGAACCCTCGTAGATATAATTATTTGTATTTTGTTTTTCAGACTAGTACCATTACTTTGAAATTTAACTGCTTTTGGTGAATATCAAGTAGTTACGTGTGTTTTTTTGTTATTTTTTATCTACATGAATAACAACAATAAACAACTTTACTGAATTAGCATTGTGTATTTTAGCAACTGTTTTTATAAAACAAAATTATTCTTTAAACAATGTTTTCGAAAAAGTCTCAAACTTTCCTCTCCTTTAATGTTATTATGTATAAATTAAAACTGACTTTGATACGTATTGTCTTGGTACTGTTTGTAATGACCGTTTACTCTTGATGTAACTGGTATTTCACCACATTTACCAATTATTCAACCACAAAAAACTTTTAATAAACAATATGCCAAATAAATCCTTGTTAGCCATCTTCTAATGACATACAATATTTATAATATACAAAGAAATAATGCTTACCTTTTCATTTCACGCCACCAAACGAATAATTGATAGTGATGTAATTAAAAGGGCCGTAGTCACGCACACAGCAACATCATGTCCACCAGTAGCGTCTATATAAAAATAAAACCGTAAATACCTCTTTACATATTATTTTCTTAAGAAGACCTAAATTGGTTGCTTTAATTAAACCATTTGTACCTAAAACATATCCAGAGTGGGCGTATGGACTGATAACTTTTACATAAATGCTTTATAGGCGTACGGTGGTGTTTTCTAGCATCAATAAAATGTTAATGGATATATAAATGAGGCTATGTGGAACACAAATATTTGGCCAACGGAAATGGTCACCAGAGGGCGATACATCTTCTCAGTGCAACCACTATGTCAATGACGGTCTGCGTCTTTGGTTTAACGTGATAGACAGCTAAACGAATCTGTTAGATATTCAACATGGCTACATGCTATAAGATTAACTGCTTGATGATTGACTATGTGGATACCTAAAGTCAGTTGTGTATCGTGGAACGCCTTCTGTGATGACAGACTTAACAGATTACATCCCACAGCATCTGTCCATGTTTAATATTATATTGGTTAGACCAAAGGAAAATCAAGATAATTCCAACTCAACGTCTAGTCTTTATTCCACTACAACATTAAACAAGTATAGGTTTTCCGTATGATTCTAAACAGTATAGGTTTCCATGTGGTACTTTTCTCTTCCAATTAAGAACATATCGCTAGTTTATAACAAATCCAATTATTAGTTCTTGATAAAGAACTATAAGAATTTTAATATGAAACTAGTATCTAAAACGTAACATTTACGAGATTATATATTTTCTGTGAAGATTTTCTTAAAGTTGTTGTCTTGTAAATATTGTATATATATATATACATTCTTCTATCAAGTGCGAAAAAAGCTGTCACCATCTTCATCTCAAATTTTTGATGAAGATGAAACTTTAATGTTTCCGCTATCCCAGTTTTTGTTTTGTCAACTTAACAATTAACTTTGAAGCAAGTCTCGGAATAGGCTTTACTGACTCGTTTAAGCTTGGTTGAAGGACAATGTAGGAAAATCACATACATACAAGTTCATATATTCAAAGCTTATTTGTTGACTTTATTTTGCCCAATTTTTTTGTATTGTTCTATAGGTCTAAATACAAGTATGTTGATAAAACTGTTGAATATATAAATAATATAGACGGAAGAATACGGAATTACTTTACTGAAGCACACAATCCCGTGATTTGACAACGATCTATTCCTGTGTAAAAATATAGAAATGGCGGCATAGAAATGCCATTTCACACTATCTACAATTCGGAATTATTATAAAACTTTTGTGTGTGGTGGTAAATCAAATAACTACTTAATAAATTCCTGTTGAAATTAGATTTCAGTCCTTTAGATCCCCAGTTATATACGTTTCACTAGATGTCGCCAGGGTGTTGGAAACCAATAAGATATTCTTTGCAGCGAGTACAGTATGTTATCTCCGTGAATATCTTTCTTAATTGATAGATGTTTTTCACTTTCAGAATCAACCATTTAAAATTTTGTATAATTTAATAAGGTGACTGATATAAAAAAATACTCATTTGATGCCTATATCACGAAAAAGCCATTAAAACATTTAAGAAAATAACTTTTAAAAATCAATCATGACACTAAAAAAAAAAACACGTAGAATAAAATGAAAATTCGGTAAATCCCAATTAGATATTACATGCTTGTTTTTTAGAGCAAAACCACAATGGACTATCTTTTATGCCCACCGGAAGGGAATCGAACCCCGAATTTTAGAGTTGCAAACTCGTAGACTTACCACTAACCCATTAGGGACCAACACACAATCAAAGAACTTCGATGAAACCTTAGCGTTTTGGATAAGTGAGTCAGTCTTTCTAAGGCGTAAAAAAAGATAAACCCACTTGTCGAAAGTGGTAGGGTTTCCTCAGGTATCATGAGGAACTGTATGTAAATAATTATACAGTAATTATTAAATAATTATATAATATAATTATATTTGCTTACATTATAATGAAGAATTGTACATAAACCCCGTGAAAAACTTATTTCATTGTTTTCCATTTCGGCGTAGGGTATAATTTTTATATAAAAAATGACACATGACAAACATTGTAATGAAGGATATAATTGGATTCTCTATTTCATTATTCTCGTAATGTTAAGTTATATATATATATATATCACGTTCTGCAAGTTATAGGTACAGTTTTATAAGATTTATGCAAAATTCAATAAATTTACGATTTTACCGTAAATTAATCACCAATTATACTTTTATTATTATGTAACATATTTGTTCTATAAATTAAACCTCTGAATTGGAATTTTTTATGGACTGCATCTTGTTGCCGAGTAGTGGACGAAGCTTTGAAATACTAACAGTTCGAAATTTCTTCCTCAACTCAACAGGCACATGCTGTCCGTAAATGTTTCCAATCGAGTACAGCCTCCTCAGCCTAAACTTCCTTTTAAATAAATCAAACCTCTACATTAATATCATCATGAAGCTACTTTTAATAATTTTCAATCAAACTCTGACGCTACAAAGGATTTACAGAAACAAATATTGAAAATAACCCTTTTATTTAAAAAAATGCTAAATGACTTACCTCCTGGTGTCATTACAAACATCCTAATGGATATGTGTACCTTCTAGCTCTGAGAGAAAGCCATCCTATGAGTTGAGCATCTAGCTTTAGATGTACATATAACATCATGAAATAGACTATTACGCCCCCCCTCCCATGGTTCAGTGGTACGTCTGAAGGTTTATAATGCTAAAAAAAACGGGTTTTAATTCTCGTGGTGGGCACAGCACAGATAAACCATTATGTAGCTCTGAGCTTAACTACAAACAAACACACAAAGAAAAGACTATCACATATAATATAAATAAGTGCAAAGTAACGTTTTTGTTACGTCTCTTGTTAGTGTAATTATATAAATAACTAAAAGAATTGGCATGAAGTGGGTGGATATGACTTGTTCTTCACTAATTATTTTAAGCTTGTCAATGCTTTTGTTAATCAAAATTCACACTTTAGACGTGCGCGAAGTTTCATATGCTGCTTAAAATATTGGGTAGTTGAACATCAAATTTGGCCGATATAAAAATTAAAATGGGTTCGAGGCCTAAAAAAAGGTAATTTAAATTTTGAATATGATACTTCCACCCCCCAAAAAAAGGACAGTTTGAAATCAGAATGAACTCCATCTTCTTTTGATTTTATATTCATGCTCAAATCGGCAAAAAACATTTTCTAGGTAGACAGATATATGTAAAAAAAATTATCGATAAGTATTATACGACCCACAGTTCGCTTCATTCACATCACCACTGAAATGTTTTCCTAGCCAGATCTAGCTACTTTAGACCATTTAGACTTGTCTCGTTCCAGGAATATAATATCTGTACTTTGTTACTTTGTCACAAAAGTCGTTATCTGTGTATTGATAGCACACGAACTGAGGATAACTAATGTCCTACTAGTATTATTCCAACATCACAAATTTAATGTGTGCTCTAGGAAATGTGTCCTATCAAATACTTAATGCGTTTTAGTGCTTTTATTCAGCAAATACTACAGTTTATCTTATTTAGTTATTCTGCCTTGACACTGCGCTGCGAGATAACGGCCACTTCAATACTCCTTGAAAAATTATTTTCCTGTTTGATATTTAAATCGCCGGAAAAGAATTGGCCAATAGCAGACATCGTAGGTTCTGGTTACATTAATGTGGAGGTGTGGCTTTTTCCGTTCATTATTTTCATCTGAGAAAAAAAAAAAAAAAGAAGAAGAAAGATCAATAAACACACATATGCGCAGTCGCAGAGATAAATAGGTAATTTCGTTTAATGTCTTCTTACCACGTATAAGTAACAAAGAAGTTTATTCATAGTATGTAAACATTTACCTATACTTATGACGAACGTAGATATTGTGAATGAAACTCAACTGAGCTTTAATTCTCTACTTTTGATTCATAGAAAACATGTTACGTTGCAGGTTTGATACTTGTAAGTAATATATTTTTAATATGGGTATCAATCATTTTGAGATTGCATCAATAAGTTTAAGTAAGTTTCGCTCATAAGGGTATCATTCCGGTTTCAAATATAAACAGAGTAAATAAAAATAAACAAGAGAATATGCGTATCCGGTGAGGTTTCTTACCTTTTCTCGTAAACCAGCAGACTGCTTTGATTTTGCAAAATTTTAGCACCCAATATTAATTCACGGTTTGTGTGAATTTGCTTGTTTGTTTTCGATTTTGCAAAATATTAGCATCCAATATTAACTCACGCTTTGTGTGAATTTGTTTTTATTTTCGATATCCTTCCACTGTTTAGAGATATGAAAGGCCAAAAATGGTAAGCGGACTCATGGTGGGGAACTGTTCTTATCAATATGGCGTAGCTTCCTACCAAAGTAGACTGAAACTAGTTGGGATGGTTACCCAGATATGATGAGAATCTATGAGTATGTTTTTATGATCGCTAAACCCAAATCTGGCTTCGCATTTTGTGTTCCTGAGGGGACTCAGGATCGCGGGGTGCCATGCTTGAAACTATGTTCCCATTCACACGCTAGTGGAATCCAACTTGGTACACTTGCTCAAGTACCAGAGCAAGGTTATAAGGTGTTTTTTTCGGGTACAGACTTTCTCGACGTTGAGGTAGCTATAGAAGTAACTGGAGATAATGGAAAAGCTAGACTGGTACATTGAGAGCCACTGTGAATCATTAGGGGCCTTTAAATCCCGGAACGGGGCGTGAATATTTTATGCTAGTTCTGCTAAAGCCAATTGATTATTACTTTTTTTCTTGTGAGCTGCAAAAGATTACTTCTTCATCTACTTTCCCATTTCGTAAAGTATTCCATTTATGTAGTTATCGAAACGATGGTGTTGAGTTTGTTTCAATCCAAACGAATTTGTATACTAATAATTTAATTAAATCTTTCACGATTGCTAACATATACTACAGGTTGAGCTTTTTAATTCTACTTTTCCCCAGTGTGTCAGTAATAAGTGTCAGTAATCCGGATTCGATTCCCCATGATGAACA